CCTTCTGCATCTTTCGATGAACAGAAACTGAATCAATTTTGCGTCGCGTCAGTCGGCGGCCCGTGGAAATCATGGGCCAAATGCTGGGCCCTGCCCTGCGGCAAGCCGTTGGATGAATTCCAAAGGATCCGTCATCAAAGTTTGGTATATCCACGTTTTTTGTTCAGATAAAATGTCATAAAACTACCAGTTATAAGTTTTTGTGAGGTATAACCCCATTTATGATTTATGATTTATGATAACCCAGCTATTGAAACAAACAAATATTGATGGCTGGTGTTTCGGGCCATACGGGGATATGGAGGTTTGCTAAATATAGGGCTACCCCTAGTTCTCATTGCATTTTCTTTTGGGATTTTCCATTCTACAAAAACCAGCCAGCTATTGTGGTATATTCTCCATTTATGGAACCCCCCTAACATACCCCCAGTTATCTATGGAATATCCCGGGGTTATGTAAGGGTTACCCTCTGGTAAACTAACAGTTTGCTATGGAAAATCCCCTTCAATAGGTAAATCAACTATCAATGGGCCATATTTTCATCCATTTTCTTTAGCTATGTAACAAATTGCCAGATGGTGAATGTTTAAATCTCTAAATCTCCTAGTTTTTTGCATAGCACTAAAACACTTTACAGGAAACCCAGCCATGATTACGCAAGCAAAAAACGTAGAGGTTTCTTGCAGATGTTCAGATGTTCCTTCCAATCAATCCTTTGAAAATCCATCACATTTGTCATGAAATCAGCCAGAAATCCCATGGAAATCCCAGGTTCAACCGGTTCAACGATCATTTTCCAGTGGGATTCCGCGAGATTTTTCCGGGCCGTCGTGAGGCCCGTGGCATTCTGAGTTGGACTTCACGGATCCCTTCTTTGGCAGCTCCCAACAGATGATTTCACGCGCCATGGCGCGGATGGAACTCAACATCCTGGCAGGAATCCTATTCAAATCCAGTTGTTTCATACTTGTATATATATATATTTATATTTAGATATAGATACACATAATATAAGATATTTTAACGTTATGTAATATAATGAAATGCAATACGATAGGACAGGATATGATATTGTATAATGTATAGTATAATGTACATATATAAATACAGTATATATCTATACATATGATGACATATATATATAATAGTGATAATAATAATAATTAATAATAATAATAATCATAATATACGTATGATAATAAATTTAGTTTAATATGGTATAATATGTTATAACATAATATAATATGATATAAAATAATATAATTTGATTTAATATAATATAATATAATATAATATAATAATTGTAATATAATATAACCAATATGACACACAATGTAATTTAATTTAATATAGAAGTATAATATAATATAATTTGACATAAGATATAATATAATATAATTATATAATATAATATGACATTAAAATATATAATTGAATATAACATAATATTATAATATAATCATATGATATATGTGTAATCTAATATAATTTAATAATTGTAGTTTAATATAATATAGCAATAACTGAAGTTTAATGTAATTTAATATAATATTTAATATGATATAATTTGATATATTTATAGTATTTATATGATATATATATATATATATATATATGTTTTGAACATTTTTTTAATTTAAGTTGTAATATTTAATATTTATACAATGTATATTTTTTGACATTTAGTATATAGTGTATATATATATATATATATCAGTATGTACCTCTTCTACGTGGCGTGCGGCTCAGCACAAGGTGGTTATGCCATCAGGGCCGGCGCTGACAGAGTTTGCCTTCAGCCAGCTGCCTTCCATGTTTCTGCCACAAGCTGTTGGCAAACATGAATGGTGTAACTGAAAGCAGCTTGAGTCGGTTGCTCAGAAAGCCGCTTGAAAATCAAAAAGGTACACATATGCTGCTAGACAGGTGCCAGCAGGTGACCAATAGAAACACAAAATGGGAAAAGCACACCAACACTCAGTGTGCCCCGTGGCTCAAGCCATACGTGGGGAATTTCAATCGAGCTGTGTCCATCGTCAAAGATCATCCATAGCGGTGGAAAACGATCACCCGAAGATCTGCTGACTCGATCGCACTGCTGGAAAGATTCGGGCCCACGGCTAATATATCATATAACATATTTCAAAGATATTTTGTGTTTCTTAATTTTAAATATATCATATGTCATATTTGTTAAATAATGTATGTATATTTAAATACATTTTTTTTTATTTATTTGTTTATTGATTGATTTATTTATTTATCCATCATTTTTTTGAAAATATCTGTATATATGTATATATTTGGAAAAGGAGGGGACACCTGAATCCCAGGTGCCTACTCCTGTAACTCATGGAACATCCAAGCAGGATGCTGCAGAACTCTGTTTATGAAGCCATGTTTTTCAGAATGGGGATTGCTACCCCCCCTTGCCCCCTGGCAATCAAAAATGTTCCGCTGGAAACTTCTCCATTTGCATAGATGGTTTTGCCATGTATTTTATGGAACACCCATTATTTATGGTTCATTTTCCCAGCTATAAACCTCCGTTTATAGATGGTTTTCCGATTCAAACCACCATTTATGGAGGATTTCCAATTGCCATTGACGCTCCATGACCTCCATGCCGAGGATATCAGCAGCGTTTTGGTCGCGCACCTACAGCAGATGCAGCTGCATGTTTCTAGGCCTGATACATCCCCAATGGTGATTAATGATTAATAGTGATTCATACTATTGATTAATATTGGGGATTATCCCATTGGGTTCTAGATCTAGGTACATGCCAATCTTACCTGATTCATGGTGATTGATGATTAATTATCATGAGTGGTGACCAATGCTGGTTAATAAACATCCCCAACCGGCTGGATAGGTAGTTTAATCCCTGAGTTTGTTGCCCACCTGCCAGGTGAGGGTCCCTAGATTAACAAAGGTGCAACTCTTCTTCTCCTTCTCCTCTTCCTCCTCCTTATCCTCCTCGCCTTCTCTTCTGCCAGGTACGGATGCAGTGGCGATATCGCCAACTCCGCATGCTGTAGGGCACGCCTGGACCCGAACATATGTCAGATAGAATGCCACACAGAATGTCAGAATAGATGTGATGCCAGATAAAATGCCGGATAGAAAGTCAGAATATATATATATGTATATGTCAGATAGAAAGGCAGATAGAAGTCAGAATAAAAAGCCAGGGTGGGGATCACTCGAAGCCAAGCAATTTTGTTATAAATGGAACATAACCATCAGCAACGATTTTGTTTTTTTCATGGCACAAATTGACCGTGTATAATTCATTATAATTCAATGAACAAATTGTGATCGTTAAAAGAAAATATGGGCACGCCCCAGAAGAAATTCTTGGCAGGTTGTACTAATCCCCAATCAAGAAAGTGCGCTTGGGTCATGAGCGGGTTTGCCTCTGCGACGTGGAGAAAAGTGGTTTCGATTCTGCAATGCCTTTGGCACAGCACCATAAATAGAACAACCTTAGTTGCAGGAGTTATTCCATCCCATTTATAACTGTTAGGGGCCGAAACGATGCTTTTTTTCCAGAACCAAAAGCCTGAGGTGTGGCTGCGGGCATTTCCCTGACGTATGGCCTGCAGCGCTACGGTCGCTCCTTGCTGAATTTGAGCACTGCCGAACGACGGCAGGAGATTCGTTTCGCGCTAGGCGCGGTGCAGGAGTCATCGAAAAATTCAGGACGCCGGGGAATCATGGGGAACACATCTTTGAACTAACATCCTGGAAAAACTGTTCTATCATGTTGCCATCAAATAGAAATTACAGTGATGTGTACCCTTCAGTTGTGAAACATGGCCCTCCGAGAAATCACCAAACTAAATGGCCGTTTTAATATGTTTTAATGGGAAGTAGTTTTCAACCGGGGTATTTTCCTGAATTCGCCATGTTTGACTACCAGACCGTGCCTACTTGGTACTGCATTTCCAGTTAAAAAACTGGTATGTAGCAATAGTCAGATAGGTTATATTCCCTTATATATATGTATATAATTATATATATATTGATTGATTGTATATAAATTGCAACTTATGGTGGTTAATGTGAGCCCAGAGTTAATAAACCACGAGGCTTTAACTGTGGGGGTACCATTTTAGCAGGCAATTATCCTTATTTTAGGGGATCCCCCCCAATTTAATCAATTAGGGTTTATTATCTAATCCTGGGTTGACATATTTGATTGATATAACATGATATAGCAATGTATATATATATATATATACAAAACTTAGAACCCCAACAGCAGCGTACAAGTTATGTTCCTGTGGTACGTATCCCAACGCTCCTGAAAACCTGGATATAGTCATGCCAAGCCCGGATTTGTGTAGATCCTGGTTGTATGAGTTTAAAGGATGTCAATGGCCATTTCAGGAACCTAAAATGGAGGTACCTAGCATATGTAAGGCCTATAATTAATGGCCTATGCAAGGGCTAAGGAAATATTACCTTATATGCTACAGTACGTAACTCCATTTTGAGTTCCTGAAAATTCCATTGAGATTCCCAAATAGTAATCATGTTCTCCTTTAATGGTACCCCAATGAAACAGCCGTTTGGGGTTTATTAATCCGAGGTTGACATTTCTTGTTATTGGTACTTATTGGTTAGCGATTTCCAGAATCATCCAAGCCTCAAAATTTGCATCGAAAAAATTGGGAGGACTTTCAGTGACCACACTTCGCAAGCGAACCCGGGAATGATTGATGGTTGGTAAGGGCAACTATCCCCAGCCCAACTTTTTCAGATTTCAGGTCCCTATAATTTACCCAGATGATTAGTGGTGATGATGGTGGTGATGATAAATCAATATGGAGGTTTTCCTGAAATAGGGATAGCCCTAAATTATTCATTTTGAGGGATTTTCAACTATAACACATCCATGTTTGGGCATTTCCATTTATGGAAACCCCCATATTGTGATAATCGTAATGAATATCACAGTGAAGATCATAATGAAGAGGCTGAAGTTCTTCCAATGTGGGCCCCCAAGTTATAAGTCGGTTACAAACCCCATGAATACTAGTTCGTTATTTGCGTATCATCAACCATAGTGAAATTGGAGTTATACCCTATGGATCCAAATACCTTCTTAGGAAGTGTTTGGGGTATGATTTGGGGGGTGAAGTACCTTCTTAGACAGTGTTTGGATCCATAGGGATATATAAACTACCTCCATAAATCAGCATAAATCAGCTTTAAATCCCATGAAATCCCAGTGTTTGTTAGTTAATTCACCATTTTCCCGTGGTTTTCCCATGGTTTTCACCGCCCCCCCCCGTTGGATCTCGACTTGTTGGGTGAATCGTTCCCGCCCATCGGAGGCCGTTTGGACGATGAGACCATCTTTGGCACTGTCCGCTTCAACCGCTTCAATCAGCCCCTGCGCCGATCTTTTTGGGTGGGTGATGGAAGCCAACACGGAGTCACATGGAGGTTTCCATAGCAAGCAAATGGACCGTTTATCTTCTGGAAAATCGAAAATCCATCTATAAATGGATGATTTCTAGGGGGTACCCCCATGACGAAACGGAAACCTCCAATCATGGCCATGGCTTTTCACAGGGACACTGATGATAATCCATTGGAATTGTCGTTTGTCAAACGCAAATTTTAGATACATGAATTATGTCATAATGTGTGTGGTTTTCAAGAATGACATAACATGAACATATGATGTGACATGTATTTTCATAGCATGAATGATTCCAATTATGTTCCCATTTTAGAATATTTTAGATTTTAGATGTATGTGAATGTTGAACATCGCAATCATGTATGAAGTTGGTGCTCTTTTTTCATGCTAGTTGGAAGCATTGGAAGCATATTCAATGATATTCCACCTCGATTATCTTGGAGCCCGGCTGATTTCTGGATGCTCCGGACCTGAAGAGTTGCAATCAGATGGGGATCTTGAAAATTTCACCATGGTTTTTCGATGGCCCTAATCGAAATAGATGGTTTACCATGGTTTACCTATTAATAGCATGGTGATTTTCCATGGCGAACTGTTAAATAACCAGATTGTATATGTTTTGTTTCATGAATACATACAATCATGCTTAATTCATGTTTAATATTCATCAAACTTCTGTAAATTCCATATGAAAATGTCTTGTTTGAAAAACTCATGTTCCCAGCCTTGAATCCCCAGCCAGTTTCACGCTATGTCTTCCACGGCGCTGCCCGTTTAGGAACAGCGGAAGTAGCACAACTTTGCAAGTCTTGGAAGACGGTCGCATCAGGTGGCTGGCTGGGTAGTTTGATGCTTCTGAGGCAGACCCTCTTAGGAGTTGGATCCCGGAAATCATGCCATAGTTCTGATACGAACAAACTAAGTGAAACAGCTAATGACGATGGATAAATGATGATCAATGTGACTTGGGAAACATCTCGAAAAAAAACTCGCCAGTGATGGAGTTCATTGGAGTTATATCTAGTGAATCTGGGGGGAAGCAGTGATGGAGAAGCTTTCCCGTTTGCGACGATTTTTTTCTGACTTCTGCCCAGAGAGTAGCCTTACGCAGACTGAGAAACCTCAGTTTCAGAAGGGGTGAACACACGTGAACACCATGAATATCCAATGAAGATTTTTCCACTTTACATCCTTTGAGATCAACGAGATCAACAAGGATTAGATTGAAAAAAACTCCGATTGATATTGCTAAGTTGTATTGTTAAATTGATGTTTATATTGATGGTTATATTGATGGATTCTTATCTCATAGGACTCATAGTGTCAGAAAAAATACTATTGTTGTTATATAGTGGATTTATAAAGTTCCAGTTTTGTGATGGTTAAATTCCGCACTTGTTTCGGGACACTTTGGGGTAGGAGTCAGAGTCTATTCCCCCCCTCCACTTACCTTTGATATAAGGAAATCAATGGGCATTTCAGGAACCTAAACTGGAGGTACCTATTGTTTTTGTTTGCTGTTTAAGGGATTTTTGTTCACAACGTTTTGGGCCTAGCGTGTCCAGTGGTTTGGCTTCCATACTTATCCCATGTGTAACTGAACCACCACTAATTACTGGGGTTATCCTCCCAGTTACCAACCATGAATTTGGGATTGGTTACCTGACAGGCAAGAGGTTTAGAGAAGGCTTTTGTATCTGGAAGTATTTAAGGATCAGGGGATGATTGGATCAGGGAATCACTTTGATACATAGATAATATAGATTACATATGTATATATATATATATGACCATTTCCCAAAAAACAGTTGACAGAAGTTTTGTACGAGTTGTTGATAATTACTGTGGACCTAGGGGTTTTTTCTTTGTTATGAGGCGGCACGCAACTAAATTTACAATTTATATATATATATATATGTGTGAAGATATTTGAAGATGATATGTAATGTAATTTCTAGATGGTGAGTATATATAGTTCTATCATCTATCCCCATTCCCATGGTATCTCAGGCCGGTGCTGCCGTCGGTTTTTGCGCGGCAAAGCTTGCGATTTCCGAGCCCAACCTGGGAGGTGAGTCTGAAAATGCTGATCCCCATGGGATAAGTAGTACATCACCATTTTTAACCGGTACTTCATAGGGAAATCAACGAACTTTCTATGGCCATTTCCATCCATTTCCAATAACTACGTTGAATTATCAGAGAGTAATATTGCGGGATATTGATGGATATTATGGATATTGATGGATATTGATGGTGAGCCACATAGCAGAATTGCTGGTTCTTTGTTCACCTGTTTGGTTGTTTCTAGGTCAACCAACTGGACGGGCAGTTGAAGCCTCTAATATTTTGGCGATTTCAATAGGAATATCTCCTAACGAGCTAAGATGTTTTTCATTTTTTTGATATCTAAGATTGGCCATGATTCATATTGCTGGCGAATGTCCCCATAATCTCATACCATCAACATCAGTCATTACCAATTCCCAATTTCTTGGTGAGTTAAAAACCCGATCCTCCAGTAATCAAACATGGCGAATCCTGGAGAATCCTTTGATGGGGATGTTCAGAACGCCACGTTTGATTATCGGAAGGTTTTTGGGGATATTCCATGGCGTTTTAAAGAATAAAACTGGTTGGTGGTTTGGAACAGCCGCGATGCCCAAGCTTTCCAGTAGTACGGCCGTACTTCACCGAACGTGGGCGGGTCTGTCTAACCTGTTCTTGCCATGGCTTGCAACTCCCCATGGAACTGGCATAGATCTACCTGGGCTGTTTCACTGATTTGGTTTGTTCTGTTAAGGTTTGACCCTGAGCTGTCGGCCCACCTGATGGTTTCCAGAACGGATTCAGTTCCCTTTCTCTATGAGGGCATGTTGGATGAGGGTTTCACCGTGTTCACCTTGTTCAATGCTGGGTTGGAGAAATCGTATCCAGTGCCGGAGGTGGTTGCCAACAAAGAGCCTGTGGTTTTGGGTCGCCATCAGCCTTCCTGGGACTCTCCTCATGCTGGGATTGACCTTTGCTCGGTTTTGGGGGCCGTTCACAAGGGGCCGAAGCTGCAGGGTACTACATTACTGTTGCTGTTGATCAAAACCGGTTGAGGCTCGATCAGCATGGCCTCGTGTACGCAGCCCATTGCCTATGCGGGGACACTGGAGATCGTACCATGATTCTGGATTTCTGGAGTCCTTCCCGAGGTGCTTCAATTGTTTCATGTGGCTTCGGTTGCCGACCTTTATCACGGCTTGGTGATTGCAAGGGTCAATTTGATTCGAGGGCTTGCTGCCTCACCCAGTCTTCGAATGCTGTGCTTTACCTGACTGTCGCCTGTGTCATTTTGGAATGCGCTGCCCCTGCCGCACATGACAGTTCGCCCTCGCTGACCTCGATCGATTTTGCAAAGTCACTGGGTTTCACCTTACACAGACTGAGCTTATATATGATCATGTGTGGTCTTGCCGACGGTACTGCTCATGGTGGGTTCGTTCCTTGCCTGATGGTGGTTTGCTTCATCTGCGACCATGGCCTACGTTGAGCAACATTTGTGCGGTCCAACAGTTTTTAGTCGCGGACCTGCTTGCCTGTGCACCTTGTGCCTATGGTTGCGCCATGCTGCAAGATCTACACAGGTCTACGACTTTGGTTGGGCATGAACGAAGAGGTATCAGTGTACAGAAGTGGGAGCTCACATTGCAAGCCCTGAGCCTTGTCACTCGGGTAGCGTGGCTTTTTAGGGGTTTGGCCGTGTGCTGTCTTGCATCCTATCGATGCTTTCTGTGTGTTTCACAATTGGGGTTCTGCAATTTTTGGGAGGTCACAATTACCCCCCGTTGCTGCTTCCCCGGGGTTTCGTGGCCAAGATGCCGGTTGCACTGCATTGTTCGTAGGTTTTCCACTGTCGGTGGGGACTCTCACTTCCGGTGTAGCCCTCTGGTAGTTGGCCGCTTTTTGGCAGTTCCATTAGTAGCTTCGACTACTCCAGGTCTCTGATGCACCCAAGACGGGTCACGTCCTCTTAACGTGGCGCGCGCAGCAAACTGGGACAAACTGGTGGTTTGGAACATGGTTTATTTTTCCATATCTATACTGGGAATAATATCCCAGCTGACTCATATTTTTCAGAGGGTTGAAACCACCAACCACAAAAGCATGTACAGTAATAAGACAAATTGAACTCTCCATATAGCGAACCATTAGTTTGTGATTTTCCAGCAGGACTAAGTTCCACTGCTCGCTTGATATGGATTTCAAACAGTATATATATATATATATATACGTTTTTTTTATGGCAATCAACAATCACAGCTTGCAAGGTCTGAACGGTGGAATTGTTGAGTTGTTGATGATGTGTTTATCAAATCAACTACCTGCCAGTAGTCAAAAATGGTACTTGCAAATCTTATGAGAATCTCTTCCAATGGAGATGCTAGTGGGAAAATCATGGAAAGGAACAATTATCATACATCATTTGGAAAGGTGATGTTTGTGATTGCGACAATGTATGTGTATGCAAAGGCGGGATGGCATGCATTTCACTTTATACACATGTTCCTTTAAGACATGTCACACACACATGTATATGTATGTATGTATGTATGTATGTATGTATGTATGTATGTATGTATGCATGTATGTATGTATGCATGTATGCATGTATGTGTATATATATATATATTGTACTATATTTAAAATACTATAACATAGACCCGGGCAAGCCGGCGGCGGAAGTTTCCCAAACATAAATGACCTATAGTTCAAAAACAACCTGTCCCGACCGTGTCCTTCCCTCGACACTCCACACCTCACACTGCACACTGCACTCTTCGCACTCCACACTTCACACTTCACACTTCACACTCCACACTTCACACTCCACACTTCTCACTTCCCACTGCTTCCTTCACACTCCAAACCTCACACTTCACACTTCACACTGCGCTCTTCGCACTCCAAACTTAAACTTCACACTCCACACTTCACACTTCACATTCCACACTTCACACTTCCCACTGCTTCCTTCACACTTCACACTTCACACTGCACTCTTCACGCCCCACACTTCACACTGCTCTAAACCTACGTGGAACAACAAAAAACACTAATGCCAAAATGGAGAAAATCTGCTAACAAATCCATTTCGCAGCCTTCATGCAGCCACTGCAATACGATTTACGAGATCCAGCTGCAAAAGACACTAGTATTACGAATGCAGTCACAGCACGAAGCAACCTTGACGCAGCCATTACAATGCGATCTGCAGAGACTGAGTTGCAAAACACAATAGAACTACGCGCAACGGCGTCGGAAATTGTAGCTCCAAAACCGGATCTCGACGCCAGAGCGAAAAAAAGACGATTTTGAAGCACTTTTTAAAAGGATTTTTAGAAAGAAAATCACTGGCGCCAAAATGGAGAAAATCTGCTGACAAATCACTGTCGCAGCCTTCATGCAGCCACTCCAATACGATTTACGAGATCCAGCTGCAAAAGACACTAGTATTACGAATGCAGCCACAGCACGAAGCAACCTTGACGCAGCCATTAAAATGCGATCTGCAGAGACTGAGTTGCAAAACACAATAGAACTACGCGCAACGGCGTCGGAAATTGTAGCTCCAAAACCGGATCTCGACGCCAGAGCAAAAAAAAGACGATTTTGAAGCACTTTTTAAAAGGATTTTTAGAAGGAAAATCATTAGCGCCAAAATGGAGAAAATCTGCTGACAAATCACTGTCGCAGCCTTCATGCAGCCACTCCAATACGATTTACGAGATCCAGCTGCAAAAGACACTAGTATTACAAATGCAGCCACAGCACGAAGCAACCTTGACGCAGCCATTACAATGCGATCTGCAGAGACTGAGTTGCAAAACACGCAACGGCGTCGGAAATTGTAGCTCCAAAGACTGAGCTGCAAACCGCAATCCCATTTACATTGCGGGAACGATCCTACAGTTGCAAAGCACAATGGAATTCCATCGGCAACTCATCCACCAGCACCACTTGCAATCTCATTTACATTGCCGGAACGATCCTACAGTTGCAAATCACAATGGAATTCTGTCGACCGCACATGCACGAAAAACAGGTGAAACCCCATTTACAATGCGGAACCGATCCGAGAATGATCCGCCCATGATCCGAGCATGATCCGACCACACACGAGACCGTCTCGCACCCGTCGCACCGCAGAGGTAGATCATCGAGGTTCGGGGACGGACTTTGTATGGGAAAACATAGGCTTTCGTGCATCTGCTATCTCTCAAAAACGCATTTCGTGCGAGACTTCCTTCAAAACTCCATCGGCAACTCCTCCACCAGCACCACTTGCAATGCCATTTGCATTGCGGGAACGATCCTACAGTTGCAAAGCACAATGGAATTCCATCGGCAACTCATCCACCAGCACCACTTGCAATCCCATTTACATTGCGGGAACGATCCTACAGTTGCAAATCACAATGGAATTCTGTCGACCGCACATGCACGAAAAACAGGTGAAACCCCATTTACAATGCGGAACCGATCCGAGCATGATCCGCCCATGATCCGACCACACACGAGACCGTCTCGCAACCGTCGCACCGCAGAGGTAGATCATCGAGGTTCGGGGACGCACTTTGTATGGAAAAACATAAGCTTTCGTGCATCTGCTATCTCTCAAAAACGCATTTCGTGCGAGACTTCCTTCAAAACTCCATCGGCAACTCCTCCACCAGCACCACTTGCAATGCCATTCTAACTCTTTCTTTGACTAACTCTTTCCCATGACATTCTAAAAGTTACAATTAACTCTGTCCCTAACTAACTCTTTCCCTCACTAACTCTTCCTTTGACTAGCTCTTTCCCTGACAGTCTAAAAGTTACAATTAACTCTTTCCCTAACTAACTCTTTCCCTCACTAACTCTTTCTTTGACTAACTCTTTCCCTGACATTCCAAAAGTCCGTAACACGGAAGTTTCTCCCCCTAAACTTCCTTTGATAATTATATATATGTATAAAGAGTATATACAATATATATGTATATATATATATATTATCATATACACGTGTATTATTCTTGTTTTCATCGGATACATATAACAAGGTGCAATCCTTGTGCCACAACGGGTCCAGGTCCGGAAAGGGTGTCCCCCTGGGAGCTATGCAGCTGCGAACAATTGGACACAGCCTGTGGAGTGCGTGCTGTGCCAGGCAGGGTGGGAGGACAAGCCGGCGGTTAAAGCCATGATTTTTTTCATCATAAACCATTGAGAAATCATCATCATCATCATCACCATCATCATCATCATCATGTTCAGCATCTCAGGCGTATCTGTTTTGCATTGTATTTTGAGGTCAATATCATCAAATAATCATGGTTGTCGGATGTGTTTGGACCCCCCTATCGTACAGTCAGACTGGGATTTGATCCCTATAGGGAAATGAAAGTTTGACATGCAAAACATGGGGAAATGATTGATTCGATCCTTTTTTCATGTCGAATTGCCATTTCGGAAATGGCTAAATTCACAATTTTTGGTTGATCAAATCCATACCCATATGATCCCATATGCTCTATGATGCTCTATGTATGGTATATAAAAACCTACAAAACTGTGCCATTTTTGGGGTTTCTATGTAGGTAAATATTCCAGCACCATGGTGCATTTGGGATATTCCAGGAGGGAACCTTCCGCTCCACAGCGACTCCACCACTGGAAATCTCACGCTGTGAGCCATGCACAGTTCCGGGACGCGGGACGTTGCCGGGCCAGAGAGCTTCAGTGGAATCTTGGCGATTCGAAGTCGGTGACCCCCAATGGTTTTTGGAGGACTACTGTATTTATTTGTTTTTTTTCCCCTGTTTTTTTTTTTTTTTTTCCCACCGTTTTTTTTTCCCACCCCAATGTTTTTTTTTGGGTCAGATACACGGTATACACGTAATCGTCATATATCGTCATCAGTTTCGTGGGGACGTGACATGTGAAATTCATCAGTTTGGACGTGACAATCTATATGAAATAGTTGTGCATCGTAGTCCTTTTCATGGTTGATGAACAAAGTAGGCAACCCACCCCTTTATACATGTGGTTGTAAGTGGCAAATTGGCACATGGTATGCAAAACAAAACCGTGTATGTGTCCTGAAAGAATATCATTGATTCAACTCCATTAGTGGTTTCTGGATACCAAATGGCAACATCAAACAAACCTCATTATATCATATTATATATCATTATCAAATATTATCAATGATACTCAACCCCGAAGTTGCTGGCTAACCAGATCCGGTTTTGAGGTCACTACACGCAGCAAAATCTGAAGTCTGAACCATTTGTACAGGATGGGGCCCCATAGTTAGCTAAGTTGGTTTATAATTATAATAACAATAGTGTATGATATTTAATTACAACTATATTTAGATGGGGTTATAAACCAACTTGCAACTGTGGGGCCCTGTCCTGTAAATGATTTACCTTTTTGAAATGCTGCTTGTCCTGTTCAGATGAAGCAGCAGAAGCAGCACAGACTTCGGTCAAGCCGCGGGACCATGATGGAATGGAATTCCTGAAATGGGGGTTTCTACTAACCATCCAGCTATTGGGTACCCCCATTTTTGGAAATCTCCCCCATATGGAGGTTTCCATAGTCATGGAGGGTACCCCCATAGTTGGATGATGCATAAGGTAAAATCCGAAAATCAAGTGGATGATTTGGTGGTACCTCTATTTTAAGAGACCTACATATATAAAGCATACACTGTACATGTAACTTGACCCGGTGGCACATATGATTGTAGATTTTCCTTCAAACCAATCCATTGTCACCGGCCATGGCTGGGTTTGTTGGACCGGTCAATCCCATGTTGGGGCTGTGTGGACAATGTCTCCATAGACGTGCATCCCTTTCAGCAAGTGGTTTATAAGATTTTATAGTATCTTATAACCCATGGACAACTGAACATATTCCACATATAACCCAGGTAAAATATGCTTTTGGAACCTTATAGCCAAATACTAAGTGGGATGCACCTGAAGCAGTTCCTTGCTGCATTTGTTACATCCCCAAGTGTTGATTGGATATGATTAGAACATTTGCATATGATGGACGTTTCATTGCCAAGTTTGTTTGCTAGCGTCTCAAGATACGTTTTGAATGGGGGCACTTGGGATCCACATTCAGATTCCGACAACCCGCTGACGGTCAGGTTTAGAGGGATCGAGTCAACATGATTGGCCCACATTGCCACATGACGCCATGACGCCACTTGGATGGGTCTCAGCATGTACCAAGGACTGTCCTTGGTGCCCCCCCGGACGCTTCAACGATCGCGGGCTCTGCATTCCCTGCCCCTTGGGCACCTCCCGAGCAGCGAATAGCTCGATGTGTGAAGCCTGTGAAGCTCATAGCTTTGCGGATGAAGCGGGCTTGGAACTTTGCAAGCCATGCCCCAACCGCTCCTCTCAACCAGAGGTGGGTCAAACGCATTGTCTTTGTGGCTTGGACTTGGTCCATCCGAGGATGACGTAATCCCCCATCACCGCAGTCGCATGTTTAACCAGGGTTTCGTCGGCATTGAAACCACCAATGAGATATTGTTTGCACACATCAAAGCTCAAAACCTATAGACCATATTTTGTTCGGATATCACTCGTCCATTTATGATAGTCCATGATCCACCGTTTTTATCGTCGTGAAATCCATCATGATTCTCGGGTGACACCATGGGGTGACTCAGATGGGGACGAAAATTCACAGCGGTAAGCCATTGATGGACGGTAAATATGTTTCGAATACTGGATGGTACCCTCTGGTAATTTAACGTGGCTATTGAAAGTGGCCATTTATAGTGGATTTACCCATTAAAAATGGTGATTTTCCATAGTTACGTTAGTTTATCAGAGGGTAAATATGTTGGGATTTGCGGTAACTATTAACAATTGGGATTAACCTGTCCGTTTAACATGGTGGTTTAACATGGTTTGACCATTAAAAAATGGAGGTTTCATTAAGGTTTCTGTCATGGGAAAATAATGGTAAATCATCTAGAGGTAGGGATGTGGGAATATAACCAATCAACCTGATATATGGATCCAGTGAACTTCGAACAATTATCCGCGAAATCTTTGGGGCAGACATGTTCCAATACAGTTATGGCCCGAAATGCCAATTATAAATCAGTGAAATAACCCCATTTACGGAATGAACACCTATTTACATCCATTCAAATAAAGTTTTAACTGTAGCTGGTTGGTGGTTTGGAACATTTTTTATTTTTCCATATATTGGGAATTTCATAATCCCAACTGAAGAACTCATCTTTTTCAGAGGGGTAGGTCAACCACCAACCAGGTAGGAACTAAAGATCAATGGATTGGTTTAAGGGAAAAATTACAGGAAAACCCCATATTTAATGGGAAAATCCATGGTTTCCTGTAGATTTTCCCTTAAAACCAATCCATTGAAAAGAGTGTTTTTGTACTAGCTTTGGCCTTGACAAGGACCATTTGGAATCAGCGATCTTAAAAATCAACCAGCCCCAATATGACCGACCCGACCGATGGGTGGTCTCGTAGAAATTTCGACCATTCCCAAATGGTATGCCGAGAAAATGGATGAATCACAACAATCAGAATCCATAGAAACCCTCTGGTAAACGTTTACATAACTATGGAAAATCACCATGCTATTAATGGGTAAGTCAACTATTTCGACTGGGCCATTTTCTATGTCGCAAACTGTTAGTTTACCAGCACCATGTTTACCGCCATGTTTCAGCCCCATCTTGCAGCACCCAGGTGACATCGGCAGTTTCTCGGATAGCGCTGCTGTTTTGAGCTGCCTGTCCTGTGATGACGTCCTGCCTGGCAGCACCACCCTGAAGGGAAATTCCAAGAGTAGTGACGCCGGGAAGCACCAGCCGCGATGGGATCTCTGAGTGACTGCTGGTTTGGAAAAACCGGTATTAATGTTGTTAAGTCTGCATAGGCATCATGGGTGTATATATATATATATATATTGTATATGTGTATTTCATGTGTATATATATATTATAGATACAGAATATGTTTACAGTTTTGTAAGAAAATACATACATTGTATGTATGTTTGTTGTGTATGTATATATATATAGTATTATATTGTACAAATATTATATTTTACTATTTATATTGTATCCATGAAAAAAACTATCTTATATATGTTTTTTTTAATATTTACATATTGTATATATATATATACACATACGCCTGTGTATAATATATATATGTATATATATCTGTTTTAATGGGTATATCTCTCATTCGGTTTTTGCATAATGGGTTACACTCCATTTATCTCCAGTTCACCCCCATTTCCATTGGGCCCATCATTGCCCCAAAATGGCGAATCGGAAATAGAGGTTTTTTTTCACGGCGGGGATGAATGTCATAATGAGGATTTTGCTGAGGATTAATGTAGGGTGGTAGGATACAAAGCAACACTACAAGGTGCCCCGAAAAGTGTGATTTCTTTCAGCACAGTTCACTTGGTTAAAGTTTGGGTTTATGGGGGTATAATGGGTTTATAACGAACTAGTTTATAGGCTTATAAAACAACCAACATCACTGGAAAGCCTCGCCTTGTGAGAAACCATAAGATTTTGTTTTTGCGGTTGTTGATGCGAGTTCACATGCCGAGCAAACCACATAATTGATGGTGGGAATGAGTATGATTTGCCTGGTTGACTGGGCTATGTCTGAGCCTAAACCGTGGTGAAAGTAGATTATTGTTTGCCATGTTATAGTAAACATAATCTACACATGCCAACTAAGTCAACTAGGCCAAGTTTCTTGAAGGATGCCTAAGACTAGCAGTGATTTGGATCTGGCACCGTGGAATCGTGGGTGGGTGTAGCTCGCCCTAAAAGCCGGCTGGTGATTATTGTTGGACCAAACAACAGGATTCAATGATGTTTCAGCAACGGATACCAGATTCAAGATCGCCTGCCTCAAGGATTATTATTTATATATTTTATATAATACCCTTGGGAATTTCCTCTGAATCAGGCAACCCAGGGTGTCCCTTAGAGCATGATTTTTTTGAGGTCGAAAAGTGTGGTAAAAATGCCACATCATGGCTACCCGGGACCCACGTTTTTTTTGGTTCGCAGGTGATTTTAGGGAGGGTAACATCCACGTGGCCAACACGGAGCCCCAATTCTACGCAGAGAATTGCTGGCTGTATGGCTGTATTTTTTTGTGTAGTTGGTTACCTGGCTCATGTTTTTTTTAGAGGGTATCAGACCCCCAGGCATCGGTTCGGTAGTGATTTTCTTAGATGTGTAATTTCAGTAGTTCAAGGTGGACTATCGTTTTTGTCTAAAGAAAGAAAGGGAGTCCGTGTAAGCAGGCGAATTCCCACAGCGATATGAATTATAATTTTATCCAGGTCTATGCATATGCTCACCCCTGCACCCACACGACCCAGGTTTATCACATATTGTTCTTCAAAGATATTGCACGCCATTACATGACAGTTGAGCAGTGTTCAACACCCCTGTTGATGATTTGTTCAGGGATTATACTACGCAAGTATCTTAACGTGTTGGGGATTATCATAATACATGAGCGGGGAATCCCGTTCTTAACCATCCAGTAGAATTTCGCATGACATTGTGGCTTTGGCAGCCACTCAATGAAGTAACTTCAGGTTTAGGAGATCTCAGCCACCATGGTAAACCCTGCCGTACAGGTTACATCATCCCAAGTAGGGGTCCCGATCATAATCCTCGGGGATGACTTATGTTTGGGTTTACCACGTTGATTCTATCAACTTCAATATGCTCAGCCAGTTATTAGTTATTATGCACAAGCCCCTCTATAGATTGTCCCTGGTGATCTCAGATATATCTACCCTAAGCCATGTTTTTTTGACCTAGTGAACAAAACCAACTTCCCCGTCATAGATGACGTATCAATCTCGGTTGAATGCCAATGTTTCCCCTCATTTTGATGGCTCCCATTTTCGCTGGTGAAAACCCTCCACCTTCCCGTGTTTGATGGTGAAAAAAGATGTTGTGTTTTTTGGTCAAATGATCATGCAACAAATCCCTGGGAATGATGGTGAACTCAGGTCATTCCTCAAAAATACCTGCCAATTATGATCATAATTATTGATCTTGGGGCCCCCTTAGGGGGCCTCCTTAGGGGGCCCCCAGCCGTCTCAGGAGGCGTGCGTGTGTCCTCCACAAACCTTTTGGCATCGTCCCAGCAACAGGAGCTCGTTGGCCTTCTGCAAGCCCTGCAGCGTTGGTCCCTTTCATGCATCTATTTCAGGAAACCTCCATATGTTCATATATTTGCCCATTCTCCATTTTTTTAGGATATGTGTTTTTTTTTAATTATTTTCCATTGCCACAATTGATTACCGGAGGCTAGGTCATGATTTTTGCTGGTGGTTCGACGTTTTTTCGGTTTTCCATCCTATAGGAGTTTCTGATTCCAGATGACTAATGTATAAGGCTCAACCACCAACAACCTTAGAATTATTTAGGACTCTTCAATCATTGAACTTGGATGCAGCCGAAACCTGGCACAAAAAGGTGCTCGAAGTGGGATGTTTCTCTAATTTGTCGCAAACTACTTCGAAGCAGAATTATTTTAGGTACAAAATATTTTGCCATGTTGGTTTCATATGTTTGGAAGCTGCTTTTGCGTATTTGAGGATGTGTTTTCATGTTTCGTCCTGCGAACACTTCCTACTAATCTGAGCCACACAGATGTTTCTTCGGTTTGAGGTTTCTACTCTCCCCAAGTTGGTCTAGTCTAATTCACCAATATATCTCACTAGTGCCCCAGGGTATGTTGATGAAATAGCTAGTTATATGATGTTAGATGGGGTTACATCAACCAACAGACTCTCCCGTTTTGGGGCACCGGCTCTTACCGATTGTGGCACATGGAGAGGGTCCCCTTCGACATGGCAAGTTGCTAACCATGGAGGCCAGCGACGGTTGAGAATGAATACAGCTGCAGTTGCATGGCTTTATAAACTAACATAACTGGGCAGCCGATTTCGGCCCCACAATGTGGATGTGCATTCAAATTAGTGGTAAAAAAAACACCATTATATAGATTTAATATAGCCCAAATCCAACAATTTGGTGAAGCCTGCTAGTTATGTAGCTACTTTGGTTTATAACAATGCTTCGCTAGGGTTTATGGTGATCGAAGAACTAGTCTGTTGGATGGGGTGATGAACCAAAGATAACTAGGGGGCACCACCTTGCATAATATGTGCCATAGTCAGAGGTTGGCGGATGGTCATCCAACCCTTGGAAGGTATTTATATACACTTGTAAAGGAATTCTTAATAGACATATACCATTTTTCCACAATGGCACATGTGAACCATTGTCATATAGATAGGTCAATAAATCCACCATGTATAGATGTTTTTTCCATTAACCCATATTAAAAAATAAGACATGTAGTTCGGGGAGTTCCCAGCTATAGCCACATTTACTACTGGAGGCTATATCCCGATCCCATTATATATATATAAGTATAAGAATATAATATATCTCCATGTTGATTGCCCTTACGCCTGCACCGTTCCAGGTTTAGTTTGCAGAGGGGGTCTTGAAGAGAACAGCAGCAAGCACCAGGCAGGACCGGGTGTGGCCAAAACTGAATGGTTGGAGAACCGGTTTTAACTAAATCCATGTTTGGGGACATCTCATATCTTTAGGGTATTCGGAAAATGAACGATGAAATTGTTTTTTTTTGAGTCGAGGATGGATCCAGATAAACTTTCCGACAGTTCGGGGTAGGGCACCTCGGATCTATGGTTGCATCCATCTTTCCTGCACTTCAATCTGGGCGGAGCTACGAATAGAGTCTCCCAACCACATAGTAAAGTATGTTGTTGATTGCTAATGTGGTGGCAATGGAAATAGTTCCCATGTAGTTGGTTCCTGTAGGGAACGTTGACTTTTTGGATATGTGCGGCTGATACAGCACTTTCTCTGTTTGCTGACCGCCACCCATGTTTGAAAAATCCGGACTCCCTTGAAAGAGTTCTAGATTGAAATACTTTCTAAGATTCTAGACTGTTTCTCTATATACAGTAAATTGATGTAAATTGTCTAAAATCGTGAAGCTTCACCAAAATGTCTCTGAGGAATGACCCTGCGGCAGGTTATCACAGCTACGGAAAATCTATCAGTTATCCATCTTCCATGAAACAATTTGAGATCTGATTGCATGTGGTTTGTAGCTTGTGACAGATCGGATACTGCTGATGTGTCGGACTCAAAAAGATTACGCAAAATCTACTGAGAATATCTGAAATATCAACCTTAGCCGTATGCTCCACGTATATGTATCAACATTTACCCCAAAACACATCCAAATGTAGGTTTTTATATAATTACCAGCTCCATGGTTCGCATCTGGGTTATGATTTTTCAGTCTCTTTACGTTTTGCCATCTTTCAGCTGATCATGCCATCTTTCAGCTGTGAAATCACTGGACATTTCCCCCTACTGAAGTAACATGGATTCTAACACAGTGACTGTAGTAAACCATTGGGAGATGATTTTGGAAAAACCACGTCTTCTGTTTTGCGAGATTTTTTTCTGGGATGATATTTTTTGATACACTAAGCACGACATAGTAATGATACACTTGACACTCATATACACTTATTATACACTTCATACACTTAACACCACTTAACATAACTTGACATCACTTCACCATTGCCTCATATCAATGGTGATGTTGTTTTAATATATGTTAGTCTGGACTAACAATGGCTCTTACAATGCTTACCATGGGTCCACTTATGGCTCTTACCGCTTACCTTACCCTCTGGTAAACTAACATAGCTATTGAAGCCATGGCCATAGAAATAGTGGATTGACCCATCAAACATGGTGATTTTCCAGTTTGTTATGTGGCTGTTTACCGGAGGGTATCGACCTCCCATGGCCCCCAGAACGCGACATCCCATGGGTCTGTCTCCGGCGCTGCGAGATCCAGGCGCCGTTCCAGCAGGCGGGCTACTCGGCCGGAGCGCCTTTGTTTTTGGGCGCGGATCCAGCGTACATCGTCAGCTGCGCCTTGGATGGTGGAGGAAAAACATGGAAAAACCATGACCCATATGCTCCATGGTGCTGGTATATCTGCTAACATGACTGGGGTATATTGATGGGATCCATGGAGCACCATATATAGCAGCACCATGGATCCTGTGGGTGATGAATTGGTGATTTAGATGGTGATTTTTCTAAATATGAGACTTGTTCTCACTTGATGATTTACATGGTGATAAATCATTGATCATCACATCTTTATGATACTTTGAGATGTGATTTATAAATTATAATGTTAGCAAAGTTGGGTTATAGGTTATAACTATATTTATAACTCATGTTGCTAGGGTTTAGGATGATTATAATCATAGTTAGATTGGGTTTAGAAGCAGACTTACAATTACTAAGATACAATCGCCAATTAAACGCTAGTTATGAGAGATATAGACCAGCTTAGCTATCGAAAGGTGTCCCCACCGTGGTGTGTTGGCGATGGGTCAAAGTGGAAGACGCCTTATTTTGGGGTGCCCAAGGGTTTTTTTTCATACCCAAATCTGGGAGTATCTGCTAAAATGCAAAAACACGTGCTATATCCGATATCCGAATCTGCAGTATTGTGCTGTATAATCCTACATATATATATATATATATACATGTGTACATAGAAACATAAAAAAAACTGAATCTGGGAGTATTGCTAATTTGAATGGGACATTGCATGGAAATCTCTGGTTGAAGCTTGAGGAAGCTTGAGGGTACACCAAAGGTAATCTTCCCAACAATGTTGGGGCTTAATAAAAACCTGAATGATAAGCCCATTTTTGGGGGGTTGATGATGGTTATATGTAAACTGGTGGGTGGTTTCAAACAGGAATTTTATTTTCTATACTAGGTGGGATGTCATCCTTCCCATTGACTTTCATATTTTTCAAGATAGTTATTGCACCACCAACCAGAAAACTTCAATTCAAGGGGGCACCTGTGGGTGAACTTCGGTCCCAGTTTCTGAGGCACGAGCGCTATTCGCTGCCCCGAACTTCCCATTGGCAGCTGTCCAGCGGGGAATTGGGGCATTGGATGTGTCACTGGGAAACAGTGAAAGGCGAAGGTGTAACCTTCAGGGCTGAAAAACCATGGGGTATAATCCATGAGAATCACCTCCATAAGTTAAGATGGGAAGGGGCCCTACAACTCTGGTTTTTTTCGCCACTTAGCAAAGTGGAACTGCACCCCAAGTATAGTGGAAAACAAGAGTTGGGATGGATCAAAACCTATTTGAATATTTGGGGGCGATAAACATCCATTTACGAACTATTTTAGTGCTTGCTAGGGTACCATGTAGGAATTGCTAGAAGCCCAGCTCATTGAACCGGAAGAGACGGAGATTTCATCGACAGAAATGGTGAATTTGCGAAGAACCAGAGAGATTTGAAGCAGACATAGGAATTTCATTAATATAATATGTTACAATATAATGTATAATATTTATAATATAATATAATATAATTCAACTATACAATAACTATATATATATATTATGAAGTCTATTGTACATCAAAATGTATATGGAATATTCAGTCTGTTTAAGATAGTAATATATATATATATGTACATACATGTGATTAAGCCAAGGGGGTTCTCCAGCAAACAGAGAGGGGTAATTTTTCGCAGGGGATTGGACTTGGAGATTTCTGAGTTCTTGGGCGACAAGTTGATTGCAAAACCTGCCGATTTCACGAAGCATGAGAAAGACCAACCATAACTTGGATTTGCTGAAGATGAATATTTATTTTCCCAGTGGAGAATCCACCATTCGGGGAAGCTATAGCGAATATGTTCTATTGTGTCAACGAGCCCGTTGAAGCAAATCCAAGATCATTACTTCGAAATGCACACCCAGGATGAATAGAATAAACCTTGAATTCAGAATAATGTCAACCCATTTGAGTATTGGATTATAACTATTGGAGGAGTACCCCCCTAATTTCCATAAACCATGGTTTATTAATCCGGGGTTGACATTAATTCACTACTGGGGGGAGGGCATTTTTTTGTGGCTTCCGCTCGCAAAAGTTTTCCGTTCAACAAGTCTGACTGACCATGGAGATATGGGCGCCGATTAAAGGTGGTGGCCCGTTCCCGTTCGAAAACGATCTCTGGGAGACTTGAATTCTGGGTGACTTTGCCCAAATACATATCGTAAGTTGAGATATGCAGATGCATGATGTATTTCTTTATATATACACTTTATATATATATATTGATATATTATATATTGTTATAGATTATTTTATAATATATATATATACATATATATATATAATGTAGGTTACAGATTAGTGTGGGGAGGCCCCCCCCCAAACAAATTTTGGATACAGAATAGTGTAAAAAAAACCAAAGTACCGGGTACGCAATACGGTGAAATCAAAAAAAAACGATAGATTCAAATTGATTTCAATTTACTTTCAATTGATTTCAAGTTACTTTCAACTGATTTCAATTTACTTTCAATTGATCTCAAGTTACTTTCAATTGAATTCAAGTTACTTTCAATTGTTTTCAATTTACTTTCAATTGATTTCAATTTATTTTGAATTGATTTCAATTTACTTTCAATTTACCTTCAATTTACTTTCAATTGATTTGAAGTTACTTTCAATTGATTTTAATTTACTTTGAATTGATTTCAATTTACTTTCAATTTGATTTCAATTTACTTTCAATTGATTTCAATTTGAATTGATTTCAATTTACTTTCAATTGATTTGAATTAGATTTAAATTGATTTCAATTTACTTTCAATTGATTTGAATTTACTTTTAATTGATTTGAAGTTACTTTCAATTGATTTGAAGTTACTTTGAATTGATTTCAATTTACTTTCAATTGATCTCAAGTTACTCTCAATTGAATTCAAGTTACTTTCAATTGTTTTCAATTTACTTTCAATTGATTTCAATTCATTTTGAATTGATTTCAATTTACTTTCAATTGATTTGAAGTTACTTTCAATTGATTTCAATTTACTTTCGATTGATTTGAAGTTACTTTCAATTGATTTGAAGTTACTTTGAATTGATTTCAATTTACTTTCAATTGATTTCAGTTTATTTTGAATTGATTTGAAGTTACTTTGAATTGATTCAATTTACTTTCAATTGATTTCAATTTACTTTCAATTGATTTTAATTTACTTTGAATTGATTTCAATTTACTTTCAATTTGATTTCAATTTACTTTCAATTGATTTCAATTTGAATTGATTTCAATTTACTTTCAATTGATTTGAATTAGATTTAAATTGATTTCAATTTACTTTCAATTGATTTGAATTTACTTTTAATTGATTTGAAGTTACTTTCAATTGATTTGAAGTTACTTTGAATTGATTTCAATTTACTTTCAATTGATCTCAAGTTACTCTCAATTGAATTCAAGTTACTTTCAATTGTTTTCAATTTACTTTCAATTGATTTCAATTCATTTTGAATTGATTTCAATTTACTTTCAATTGATTTGAAGTTACTTTCAATTGATTTCAATTTACTTTCAATTGATTTGAAGTTACTTTCAATTGATTTGAAGTTACTTTGAATTGATTTCAATTTACTTTCAATTGATTTCAATTTATTTTGAATTGATTTGAAGTTACTTTGAATTTATTTCAATTTACTTTCAATTTGCTTTCAATTTACTTTGAATTTACTTTCAATTGATTTCATTTTACTGCCAATTTACTTTCAATCGACATCCCATAGAAATCCAATAGTAGTCCCAAAGAAATATCATAGAAATACCATGGAAATCCCATAGGAATCTCACAGAAATACCATAGAAAGATCATAGAAATAACATGGAATAGCATAGGAACCACAAAAGAAATCCCATGAGAATTCCAATAATAATCCCATAGAAATATCATAGAAACATCATGGAAATACCTTGGAAATCCCACAGGAATCCAATAGAAATTCCATAGGAATCCAATAGAAATACCATAGAAATCCCATAGGAATCCAATGGAAATCCCATAAGAATACCATAGAACTCCCATAGCACCCCTTCAGAAATCTCATAGAAATCCTCCAGAAATATCATAGAAACATCATGGAAACCCCATAGGAATTCCATAGAAATCCAATAGTAATACCATAGAAATACCACAAAAGAAAAAAAACTTTAGCAAAGGAAAAGGTAAAGGGAATGCTTGAAAAAAACATCACACCAGGAAGCATCTGGACACAATAGTGTACCCTCGAAACAAACCACACTATTGTGTATCAGGGTTGCTCATGGACTACCCCCTTGAAAAATTGTTTGATTGATGTTTTTTAATTGGGTTTTAATAAGGCATCATATATTTTGGGAAACTGGGCATTTCTGAGAATATCAAATGAAAGAAACTAAGAAAGTAATTAATTAATTAAAAGGAAAAACTTTAGCAAAGGAAAAGGTAAAGGAAATGATTGAAAAAATCAAAAAATCATGACCTCAGGAAGCATCTGGACACAATAGTGTACCCTCGAAACAAACCACACTATTGTGTATCAGGGTTGCTCATGGACTACCCCCTTGAAAAATTGTTTGATTGATGTTTTTTAATTGGGTTTTAATAAGGCATCATATATTTTGGGAAACTGGGCATTTCTGAGAATTTCAAATGAAAGAAACTAAGAAAGTAATTAATTAATTAAAAGGAAAAAACTTTAGCAAAGGAAAAGGTAAAGGAAATGATTGAAACAAAAAAAAATCATGACCTCAGGAAAGCAGCTGGACACAATAGTGTACCCTCGAAACAAACCACACTATTGTGTATCAGGGTTGCTCATGGACTACCCCCTTGAAAAATTGTTTGAGTGATGTTTTTTAATTGGGTTTTAATAAGGCATCATATATTTTGGAAAACTGGGCATTTCTGAGAATTTCAAATGAAAGAAACTAAGAAAGTAATTAATTAATTAAAAGGAAAAACTTTAGCAAAAGAAAAGGTAAAGGATATGATTGAAACAAAAAAAATCCTGACCTCAGGAAGCAGCTGGACACAATAGTGTACCCTCCAAACAAACCACACTATTGTGTACCTGGATGTAATTTTCTGTGGAAGGCATCTGGAAAATTTCAATGATGGAAAATAAAAAGTAAAAGAAAAAAGCTTTAAAAATGAAAAAAATGAAAAATGTTTGAACAACAAAAAAAGACCAAGACACAATTGTGTATCCTGACACAATGACACAATTGTGTATCCTGACACAATTTTAAAAAACAATAAAAAAATAAAAATAAAAATAAATTAAACATAAAAATAAAAAATAATTAAGTTAAAAATTATTATAATCAAAAATTATTATAATTAAAAATTTAAATCAAAAATAATTTAAAATAAAATAAAAAATAATTAAAAATAAAAATGAAAAACAATTAAAAACTAAAAAATGAAAAATGAAAAAAATAACTTACACCAAAATCCTGTGGACACAAAACTGTACCCCTCGATCATTTCCAAAGTTACAAAATAATTTTGGAGTCTGTGGACACAATTCTGTATCCCCACACTAATCTGTATCCCACATTATTTATATATATATATATTATACATGTTTGTATATATTACGTATATGTTTAAATGTGTATGTATTGCATAGGAATGTAAATATATATATATATATATCATAATGCATATGCAGAGACTTTATGTATGTATATATATATATGTATATGATATGCATATATATATATACACGTACATGTTTATATTCCAGCTGATCACCAAAGTACTGGGGTAAAATTCATCCATTCCAAGGTGAATTGCGTGGCCAACCATTACGACGATGATGGCATTTGCAGATCCTGTTCCAATGCATGGTAAAACATGTTCAGAACGGGCTGGTTGCGGTACCAAGGGATTTGTTTCAGGGACAAAAAAGTACAGGAAAACTCATATTCCCCACCTGCCAGGTGAGGGTTGTTAGATTTTATCAGAGTTGTTCTCCTCCTCCTCCTCGGCTAGCTGTCCTCCTCCTCGTCCTCGTCCTCCTCCTCCTCCTCCTCCTCTAGTTTCTCCTCGACCATGTCTGCATCAACTTCCACCTCCACTTCCGCCTTGCCAACTCTTCGCCAAGCTCTTTTCCAACTCTCTTCGCCAAGCTCTTTGCCAACTTCCCAGCTCAGTGTGCACCGCTGGACCTCAACCTGGGAGCTGCCCAGCTCAGTGTGCACCGCTGGACCTCAACCTGGGAGCTGCCCAGCTCAGTGTGCACCGCTGGACCTCAACCGGGGACCTGCCCAGCTCAGTGTGCACCGCTGGACCTCAACCGGGGACCTGCCCAGCTCAGTGTGCACCGCTGGACCTCAACCGGGGACCTGCCCAGCTGAGTGTGATCGTTGGACCTCAACCTGGGACCTGCCCAGCTCAGTGTGCACCGCTGGACCTCAACGGCCAGATAGAATGCCAGAAGATCTGCCAGATAGAATGTCGGATAGAATGCCAGAAGATATGCCAGAAGATCTGCCAGATAGAATGTCAGATAGAATGCCAGAAGATATGCCAGATAGAATGCCAGAAGGTATGCCAGATAGAATGCCAGAAGATATGTCAGATAGAATGCCAGAAGATATGCCAGATAAAGTGCCAGAATGTTTGCCAGATAGAAGGCCAGAAGATTTGCCAGATAACATGCCAGAAGATATGCCAGATAGAATGTCAGAAGATATGCCAGAACACATGCCAGAAGATATGCCAGGTAGAATGCCAGAAGATATGCCAGATAGAATGCCAGAAGGTATGCCAGATAAAGTGCCAGAATGTTTGCCAGATAGAATGCCAGAAGATTTGCCAAATAATATGCCAGAAGATATGCCAGATAGAATGCCAGAAGATTTGCCAGAAGATATGCCAGATAAAGTGCCAGAATGTTTGCCAGATAGAATGCCAGAAGGTATTCCAGATAGAATGCCAGATAAAATGTCAGATAGAATGCCAGAAGATTTGCCAGTAACAAAATGTATAAATGTCATGGTGTGGATCACACGAAGTAACGTATTTTTTTCGTTATGGGAACATCTATGGTTTCCTGTAGATGTTCCCGTAAACCAATCCATTGATGGTAGTTGATGGTAACAAAAACATGTTTTATACTCTGTCGCTGAAATTTGTGGACTCACCAGTTCTTACCTTCTGGTAAAGTAACACAGGTTTGGAAAATCACCATGTTTAATGGGTAAATCCACTATAAATGGCCATTTTCAATAGCTATGTCTAATTACCAGAGGGCATACATTAGGGTATATATAAATACTGTGGATAAATCCACTGTAATTAGTTTAAAGCTTACTGAGTTTACAAAAAAAAATCTGCAATGGATAAGACATGACCCCAGTCCGAAAAAATAAAGCTAGGCAACGGGGGCAAATCTCTAGTATACAGCCGTAGAGATGACGGATGGTGCACTGGTCAGAAGTTGATTAATCAACCTTGCTTCGGGGTCAACTGGTCAACTTGACTCAATCTTAGTGTGGAGCTTAGCCTTCTTTCCCCAATTTCGTAGTGAAATTGAAGATTAGCGCCACAAAACGTCCATGGTTGAGGCTTATACAGACCGGTGATCTACAGCGATGTGTCCCAAAATCTTCCAGATCCAACACACCTGTCTGTTTGGAACTGGATGGGTAGGACTGCGTTTTCAGTTAGATGACAGTAAATGTAATTTTCCACCAGATGATGATTCAGGTATGGATGAACTGATGAACACCTATTATAGTATATATTTCGGGAATGAAGACCCAGAACATCCTCGGAACCTCAACACTACCAACTGTATCTTCATCTATTTGACTTTTCTGTAGGAGTCATCGATTTTTCTCTAGAAAAATCGCATCTATTGAATCTAGGAGTCGGCCTTCTCGGTGTGGCCATTGATTGCGGCCATTCTGTTGGGCATCATCGCACTGGGCGTGCTCTACAAATTTGCCGTCACCGTGGATCGCTCCAGACGCCTGGCCGATCGCTACCGGAGGGCCTTCTCGGATGACGGAGGATCCCGGTGATGGGTTTTGTTTCGGCGCGTTTTGATGTTGGCGAACCCGAGAATAGGCAACAAAAACATAGACAACATATAGGATCTATCATGATCTATCCTGTTTTCTATTTTTTTGAATTGACTTGAAATTATAAACATGTATAAGCCAACTTTGAAATGTGAGGACTTCCTGGATGATTGGCTGATGGCTTGGTTCCTTTTTGAGACCATTCATCGACCTGCGGCCACCAAGCTCCATCCATGTTTGCAAAAAGGATGATCCCAGGTTTGATCTATATATCCCATATGCAACCCATGGTGCTGGTATTTAAAAACCTACAAAACTAGGTGATTTTGTTCGGGTAAATGTTATAGTAAATATTCCAGCACCATGGAGCATCTGGGTATGGAAATTGCACTGACCTGAGAATGGTGGGTGGTACTGGAGGCTGCCGACTTTTTTGTTGAAATCCTAGGCGAGAGAATTGAACTTCACAGTTTATGAGCTGTTCGCTTGGTGGGAGCTATTGTATTGTTGAACCGAGCAGGAAACCATAAATGTAATAGATTCAAATGTTGAGGAGCACTGACAAGCTGCCTGCTTTTCGGATGCCCCGGTGGGAGGTTCCTGTGGGTCAACATTTCTCAAACGGGGGCTGCTACAATTAGACATTCTTAGTAGCAAAACATTTAGCAATGGACATGCAATCCCCCCGAAATTGGGATACTGCCCCATGCCGCTGCTGGCTGATTCTTGGTTGGGTATGATGATCGTAGCCGTAGCCAATTATGAAAGTTGATCTATTCATTCATGATAGGTGGGGTAGCTGTACTCAGCACATTAAAATTGCCTTCAACAAAAAGACGGAACAACACTGGATTCAGAAAAGAACTAATCAATTCATGAATTATATATAATATTATATGATTATATAATGTTAACATGGTATTAGTAACCCCCCCAAACATTAAGAGCATCACAATAAAATTTAGGCCAAACATTCACCTAGGGTTCCTGGAACATTTTCAGACCTATGTGGCGCCGAACAAATTGCCTAATTGAAAACGAATACATAAAGGGAACTTTCTTTCCACTTTAGTTCTTTCCACTTTAGTATTCCCAAATGAATTGCCTAATTGAAAACGAATACATAAAGGGAAAAAACAACGGAAAAAAACGGGGAAAAAAAACGGAAAAAACAAAACGGAAAAACAAACCGGAAAAAAACGGAAAAAAAAACAGAAAAAATAAACGGAAAAACATCAGTTGGGGTACTTTATTACGGGGGGGGTTTATTATTTTGTCCCGGGACTTAGCGTACTTTATTGCGGGTGGGTTTACTAACGCCATGTGAACATTACAGTAAAACATAGCAAAACTAAATGTAGTGCTTATAAAATCCATTGAACAACCACGGCCCCAAAATTCAACATCTCCATCAGCACCATGGCAGGCCTTCCAGACCTTCCAGCTCTCAGGTCGTGACTCGGTGGCGACCATCATCTTGGGCGCCATCTTCGTGCTGCTCATCCAGCTTGGGGTACCAAACTTCAGCACCGTGCGCGTGGAATGGGTGGAACCTCTGAAGACCCTGCGTCACTTGCGGCCGCGTTCGGTGACGGGAGTTGAAAAAGCAGGAGGGTAGAAAGGATGTTTAGGGGATATACATCGAACTAGTCCATTCTTTTGTTTGTTTTTTTTTGCAACTAGCGTTGATGCTAGATAGATACATCGAACTAATTAGTTCGTGGAGTACACATAGCTGGGGGCCATCACTCTCTATCATGTTGAGTGAAATTCATCGTCTAGGGAATTTAGAATATGTAGCGCGGATTCAGCTAATGTGAGAGGGAACAATCACCTGTATGGCAAGAATATCAAGGACGCAAGCATTTAGGCATATATCGTTATAGCAATGCTATAGCCCAACACAATTAGGGTTTCCAGGTCACGATATATCATGATGCAAAAAACATTGGGATATCTTCGAAGGGCCAGCCCTTAGCTTGATTTATAGGTTGATTTATAGCTATAGCATCCTGGAAAGCCAAACACGCATCTTTGTTTATCATCATGGAAAAAGTGGGATTATGGCTTTCCAGGATGCTATAGCTAGGATTCATGGTGAATATCATTGACTATCAAAAGGTCGGGTAGAATACGCTACGGGTAAATCAACGAACTCAACGGGCCATAGCTTCCAGGAGTATTATTTGGTAGATGGTTGGTAGTTAGATTGATTTGGATTCCACATTCGAATATATAGATGTTTCATGTCAATTTTGTGTGGTTATCCCAAGTTCAACTCACTGATTCAACTCACCGATTCCTACGTAGGGTGACGAGTTTGTTCAATCGTCCCAATTGAGGCTCCGTTTTCTCCTTTATGACCTTCAATGTGGAGGTTGTGAGGCTGCCATGGTTAGCTGGTTTGGGTTATGTTGGGTTATAACTTATAACGGTTATAAGATGTTATAACATGTACCAGGTATACCATGAGCCAATATCATATATGATCATATATGACAAACGCGTATACTAGGGTTTATATATATTTACGGTAGGAACTACTAGCTCGTCGAAATCTGGAAACCGGCGGCACCTTTCTAGGGGCACCAACTGGCGATTGAGATGGAAGCCGCTTAACAGGTGAGATGAAGACAATTGACTTAAAACCAGAAGAATTTCGGACTTGAAGCCACTTTTTGAGGTCGACCATGGTAGATGGTGGCTGAAGGCATTAAGATTTTTTCTGTCACAACATCTCCAGAGATGGACAAGGACTGGATGCTTTAATTTTTCATGGTTCTGAACCCATCAGTTAGGTGCAAAAAATGACATCCATTCCAGCTTTGGTGACCAGGATACCAGGTTAAAATGACCTATACCGGGGATGTCGGTTGACCTTGGTCGATGTGCGAAGTCACGGCTTCACGGCTTCCCCCGGGAAGCCCAGTCGTGTGGTTCCCTGTGTGGTTTAGGGGTCCCCACCGAACATGGATCCACATTTTCCTTGGGTTAAAAAACCTCAAACCACCATTTTGGTGCCTTTGGTGATCTTTTAATTTTGACCCCATGTGGTGCTTGTTCTTTGAGTGGTTCAATGATTGATATTAATTCCCGTATTGTTTGTTTGTATAAATTAGTATATAGAAATATAGTTTTCCTGGAGTCCTGGAGTAGAATATCAGGCGGACTCTGTATATGGAGGTTTCTTAGAATAGGGATACCCCAAATCATCCAAAATTAGATCAGTTTACTATTGAAACCCATGGTTTTGAGGTACCCCCATGTTCGGAAACCTCCACCTCCATATATATATTATTATATATTACTGTGTATATATATATATACATATGTATATTTATATATATATATACATTCTACAATATATGATATGTATATTTATACATGGGTTGTGGCTCTGCGTAGTGAAGGCCTGGCTGCTGGATGAGTGGTCGCAGCCCCTTGATGAGCTATTTGGGTTCCCTGGCCTGTTATCCCTGTGCTGCGCTGCTGATTCTATGCCTGCTGGCGATTGCCAAGTACTTCCAGGCTGGTGTGACCACCTGAGACAGAAAAAGTGCAGGTATGGCCCTTTTTATACCAGTTATAACATGCAGTTATAACCGGTTATAAATGGTGATGTTTATCGGATTATCATGAACCATAAATGGGCCGACTTACTGACTTTTAATTGCCTATATTTTAATTAACTAATATATATATATATATACATACTATAACTCTTAATACGGGCCATAGCTAACTGTAGGAAGCGGTTGTGGAAACGCCCGATAGCCAGAGAGAGTCCAGTGAAATCGGGCCCCAGGGCGTGAGCTATGTTTGTTGGTGGGGCCCCATCTAAATATAGTTATTTGATGTCATTTGAGCAGAGTTGTTTTTTTACAAGTTGGTACCAATATAAAATTATAGGACCGGATAACCCCACATGTTAACAACTTCTCCAGAATTAGACTGAGCATAGAAAAGCAACAAGGGAAGAGGAAGTATGAGAGTGATGGGGTGATGGTGGATGAGTTTGTGTGCATGTATGTATGTGCATGTACAGGTGTGTCACTTTGGTAGTGTGTTAACGATATGTGTACCGGGTGTAAGAGGCAGTTTGTAATATGTGTGATGTACATGCGGATGTTATACGTATGTGTATGTGTGTGTGAGGTGATATTATTTGCGTGCGATGTGAGGTTAGGTGGCAGTAATGTAAATGTATGCAAACATAGATATACTGATCTTGTTGCATGTGACGTGAAGTTATGATGCGTCAAGTGATCTTTTGGTATGTGATGTTGTGATGATGTAGATGTGCTGTGTTCATGTTGTGCGTGCCCGTGTACATATATATGTGTGTGTGTGTACGTGAGTGCGTGGTTGTGCGTGTGTATGGTCATATGGTGATATGGTGATATGTTTGCGGCAAATATACAAGAATCCGGTAATGTATGTTTCAGTTCATATGTGTATACAATCCTCCCGTCGCTTTGCAGACTTATCGGTTGTCCAAGTGCCATAGGTCAGCATCATGACCTGAGCAGACACAATGAATAGACAAGCCATGATAAGCTCACAATCAAATCAATCTGAATGAGCTGAGTTGATACATCGCCGTGCCCTGCTTCTGAACAGCCATATGTTTTTTCTGGTCAGCGAAGTTAACAAGCCGTGTTAAATTTGCACAAAGCTGAAGACAATTCAGCAGTCAAACGCGAGAAATCTCTATGCCTCATTGCCCAAAGCACGCGGAGCTAGGAAAACCAGCAGGACGCTTCAAGACCAGTCTCCGACTGACTGCTGCGGAGCAAACATAAGCTCACATCTCTTCGTCGCATTGGGTGGCTGCGACTTCGGATGATTGCGCAAGCATGCGGAGCTAGGAAAATCAGCAGGACACTTCAAGACCAGTCTCCGACTGACTGCTGCGGAGCAAACATAAGCTCACATCGCTTCGTCGCATTGGGTGGCTGCGACTTCGGATGATTTCGGTAAAGTGTTCAGCCAAGCTTTGGAGCTACGCGCCTCTTCCGGCATGTTGTCTGTGACGACATGCAGCCTCTTGACAGGCGTCCATTTGGAAGGTAAGGGGTTCATCTACTGCCAGCTCTGCCATGGCGAGTTGGTCAAAGTAGTTCATGACGGTGTCCTTGGCGGCTGCATCCACGGGGATCTGCCAGAGCACACTCCAATATCCGATCTGCTCCGTCTGGGCCAAGACCACTTGATGGATTTCTCCGGTGCGGCCCTGGAGCATCCAGTTGACAACCGAGGCCTGGCCAGCCATGCGAAGTTTCACTTGGAAAGGAGATGTGTCTGCTTTCGACAAAAGGCAATCAAAGGGATCTCTTCACCCGCATGGCCGAGGTGGCTGTATTGTCTTGCTGCACTGCCTCTTCATCTGCCAACTTCACGTTGTTGAAGCACACCAAGGCACGCAAAAAGTTTGCATCTATCTATCTATCGATCGATCGATCTATCTATCTAATCTAATCTAATCTAATCTAATCTAATCTAATCTAATCTAATCTAATCTAATCTATCTATCTATCTATCTATCTATCTATCTATATCTCTCTCTCTCTCTATCTATCTATTTGTCTATCTGTATATCTGTCTATCTGTCTTTCTGTCCATCTATCCACCTACCCATCTATCTATCTATCTATCTATGAATCTATCTATCTATCTATTTATCTATCTATCTATCTATCTACCTATCTATCTATCTACCTATCTATCTATCTATCTATCTATCTATGAATCTATCAATCTATGAATGTAACTATCTATGAATGTAACTATCTATGAATCTATCTATGAATCTATCTATGAATCTATCTATGAATCTATCTATGAATCTATCTATGAATCTATCTATGAATCTATCTATGAATCTATCTATGAATCTATCTGAATCTATCTGAATCTATCTGAATCTATCTGAATCTATCTGAATCTATCTGAATCTATCTGAATCTATCTGAATCTATCTGAATCTATCTGAATATCTACCTATCTATCTATCTATCGATCTGTCTATCTATCTAGCTATCTAGCTCTAGCTATCTAGCTATCTAGTTATCTATCTATCTATCTACCTATCTATCTATCTATCTGTCTATCTTTCCGTCTATCTATCGATCTATCGATCTATCTATATATCAATCAATCTATCAATCAATCAATCTATCTATTTATCTATCTATCTAGCTAGCTATCTATCTATCTATCTACCTATCTATATATATCTATCTATCTATCGATCTATCGATCTATCTGTCTATCTATCTATCTTTCTATCTATCTATCTATCTCTCTCTCTCTCTCTATCTATTCGTCTATCTGTCTATCTGTCTATCTGTCTATCTGTCTTTCTGTCCATCTATCCACCTACCCATCTATCTATCTATCGATCGATCGGTCTATCTATTCATCTTTCTATCTAACTAATCATCTATCTAGCTGTCTATCCATCTCTCGATCTATGTACCTATCTATCTATCTGTCAATCTATCTTTCTATCCTTCTATCTGTCTAGCACCAAGTCCCGCGCCTGCCACGCAAAAGCCACCAAGCCACCGGCAGAGCGTGGAGACCAAGGGACACCGGAGGGACACCGGAGGGACACCGGAGGGACACCGGAGGGACGCCAGGGCGTACATCCGACCCCTTTGCAGTGCACCAAGTCCCGCGCCTGCCATGCAAAAGCCACCGGCAGAGCGGCGGAGACCAAGGGTGATATGTGTGTGAGTGCGTGGTGTGTGTGATTGGGATGTATGAGTGTGTGTGTGTGTGAGTGTGAGGTGTGTGTGGGATGTGTGTGTGAGTGATGTGTGTGTGCGAGTGAGTGTGTGTGTGTGATGTATGTGTGAGTGAGATGTGTGTGAGTGTGTGGTGTATGTGTGATTGGGATGTGTGTGTGTGAGTGATGCGGAGGGACGCCAGGACACCGGAGGGACGCCAGGGCGTACATCCGACCCCTTTGCAGTGCACCAAGTCCCGCGCCTGCCACGCAAAAGCCACCGGCAGAGCGGCGGAGACCAAGGGTGATATGTGTGTGAGTGTGTAGTGTGCGTGTGTGTGTGTGTGATTGGGATGTATGTGTGTGTGTGAGTGAGTGTGAGGTGTGTGTGGGATGTGTGTGTGTGTGAGTGATGCGGAGGACGCCAGGGCGTACATCCGACCCCTTTGCAGTGCACCAAGTCCCACACCTGCCACGCAAAAGCCACCGGCAGAGTGACGCTGGACGAGTAAGGTGTGTTTGAGTGGGAGGACAGGCGGGAGGAAGGAGGAGCGGATACAGCACTAAAAACAAAAACACCACACGTCAATGTGGGGAATGATAGCACCCTACATCAGAAAAAAACACAACTCATTTGCGTATTGAAAAGAACACCAACTTGTTATGAAATAGTTATTTGCGCCAACTTCGAAAACGAACCGGGGCCCCATCCCGTGCGTAGTACATGGTTCCCACAAATGGTGATTTATGACACCAAGCAGAGCGATTTTACCGGCTGACCAAACCATAAAACAC